TCCCTGATAGTTCATTTATTATTGTATATGTTCTTTTTTTCTTCTTCTTTTTTTAAGAGTATCATTGCCTTACTTTTTATTTTACACTAAGGGATTTGACTTATAGTTGTCTCACATTAATAGATTTGACTATAAGAAGTTATTTTTTGTCACAGAAATCTTTTGAATAAGAAGAAGCTAAGCTAAATAAGATTGTGGTAGATGCCTGAAAATGAAACAATAAAAAATCTACAATGTCTGAAAATTCTTTTTTGAATCCTACTTTTGACACCATTTTAAAAAAGATCAAAGCAAACCCGAACATTTCCAATTTCTGATTAATGATTCAAGACCCTCTTGCAATAAATGAAGGCTAAATTTATAAGATTGTAGTACATACAAATCTGTGCACAAAATTATAAAATTGAAGAATTTACGATGAATTATATCTCACATAAGTTTCCCATCTAATGTTATAAAATTGTGCAAAACAACAAGTTCAGCTTTGTATGTTTCATTAGTGTTATAATATGTGCTCGTCAATGGAATCTAACATCATGTTGATATATATGTGTTTGGGTTGCGGTGCACTACAGGGTATATACAATTGCTTTATGTTGCAGTAATCATTAGTAAATGTTTAGGAAAATGTAACAATAAAAAAATTTAATGATGTTCAATTTCCGTAATATATCTGCATGAAACAACTGACATTGCACACAAATTTGTGTCCTATGGGCAACAACTAGTTATTGGTTTGATGAAGGTTCATTCTACTTTCATGTATTACAAATCATGATTTATGTTAGAGAAACGTAATGATGCATATAATAAAACTGATCCTGGATACAAGAATATATATTTTAGCTTTATTATTTTTCTCTCAATACCTTTTTAATATGGAATTAGATATTCCCTTTGAACGCCTCTTTGCTAGGCCCTTCAAATTGCATTCCTTATTGATTAATTTTATTTATTCAATTTTTGGTTCGACTGAGATACTCTCCCACTTAATATGCCATCAACATCAATGGATAATTTTTTCAGTGACTCTAACATGTATTGCTTAGCTTCTTCATTTCCTTGTGCTTTGGCATTAATTTAATATGAAAACTTTTGGACATGTGTACAAAAAATGAGTCTACTTGAATAATCATTCCTCATTTGTGCCAATTTGAGAGATATATATTTAAAACAGTTATTGATATCCCTTTTAGCATAAATACACCATCGCAATATGAGATATTTCTCGAGTATCTTGGTTATATTTTCTAAAGTAAGAACTCGTAGATTGTGGGCACATAATAACCCCATCATTTTAAAATTTTTTACATTTGCAATTAATTACAGAATTAGAATTCTCAAATTTAACAATCCAAGGTTTGTCTGTCCCCAGATTATCAAAACTTTTAACGTAAAATTCTAAAGCACCATTTTTGGAGAATTATATAGCAAGATCATATAACCCATATGAAAACTCTTTCTCGAACATTAAATACAACTCCCTTGAATAAAATGAAGTTGTGTGCCTCAAAATTGAGTTGCTTTTAGCAACGAAACCAATTACAGATTGAGCACATTTGAAAATTCTACTTCTTTTTCATTTTGTCTCTATGCTTTCATCACATTTTCAACTCCCATAAAATAATAGATAATAGACTTGGATATACCATTGCAAAAATTATTTGTGGACTCACTTCTCTCTGTTTATAAGGTTCTCCTTTCAAATATTTCTTTATTAAAGGCTATTGACCACTTATATCTAATGTTGTATGAATCATCTAGCTGAACATTATCGTGTAGATTTTCTTTCTCAATCATGACAACCTAAATTTGTTGAAACTTCTCATCGAAGTCGCATTTGACCATGCATTTGTAGAAAAGATCGTTGAATGTCTTATTACTCACACTATAATGAACTTTTGAAGGAAATTTCTTGTAGATATGTCATTGGCATAATCAATTCCGTGTATGTAGTGGAGAATCTTATATAACTCTTTTCATTGCTTGATCCCGATCAGTAAGGATTGTTATTGGGTGTTTATCATCCATTTACAAATAAATGTTTATCCATCATCTCGTCTTAAAAAAATCAACTTCAAAGAGAATATTTTGCCAATGATAGTTCACACCAACAAAAGGAGCACGACATAAATTATATTTATTCAGTTTATAACATATAAAAAAAATAATGACATCCCTAAAGCAATCATAATCAAGCCTGAACGTGTCATCACTCCCAAAAAAGCTCATTAACTTACCAAACTCATCAATTTGGAAGTCCCACGCAAACATATTGTCCTCAATTTATTTCTTTGTGAACGATTATAATAGAAAATTGGTGTCACCATTTTAAGTGCTAAATTTTCTCTCTTTTTGAATGAGATTGAAGGCATCTCTCTTCGTAAATTCAAGTTTCTCTACTCCCTCAATTTCTGTAAAAAGGAAGTTAAATGCATCTGTAGCCCTAATCCCAGATTTTTTCATTGATTTGAGCACATCTGCATTGATTTCACTTATCTCTCTACAGGAACACTGAAGATGCTTATCACCAAGCTTCGCTAAGGAGTGGTTATGACTTTCTATAGATTTTTTAACTGTCTAGTTTCGTTCAACATCAACTTCATATTGAATCATTATTGGACAACGAGCCATTGTGTCTATTTTTTTTTAACTTCCACTGTGTTGGTGAACTTGAACTCCTTCTTATAACCAGCTTTACCACATAAAAATTCCTTCAACTTAATTTTTCTCGAATTTATTCAAAAACTATAGTGGTCCTTTTGAACTGTAAATTCAATATGATGTGAAAAAACACAATATAGTTCATATGTTTCTTTTTCATTGTGTACAATGGTGTTAAGCAATCTATTTGCAATTGGATTATTGCCAAGATCCTTAATCTCACAAAATTGAACATTTATAGTATAGTTTAAACATGATTAAGTATGGAAATCACTAAACTATAAACACAAAACCTAAAAAATACCAACAACTCTAATACCATAAAATAGTATCATAATAACATGAAAACACCCAAAAGAAAAATAAACAAAAACTACAAAAACACCAGTAGAATACCAATACAGAATCGTCACAATACCACCACAATAAAACCACAATACAACTCCAACAACACCAATAATATAACACCACAATAACATCACAATACCACCACAATAACACTCTAATATGAATAAAGTACAACCTCAATCTTATCTCAATACAACCACAATACCACTCCAATAACACCACGAATTATTACATTACCACTTGAATAATATGACAATACCACCACAAAATACTTTAATATTATCATAAAATCACCACAACACCTCCCCAATAACACCACCTAAACACCACAAAACTAACAGAATATGAACAAAATACAACCTCAATCCCACCTCAATACAACCAAAATAACACCATAATAGCACCACAATAAAACCATAATACCATCAAAATACAAACACAATATAATCACAATAACACCACAAAAATACAACAATATGAACAAAATAGAACATGAGTCCCTCCTCAATAAAACCTCAATACCACTTCAATAAAATCACAGACTACTACAATACCACAAAAAATAATATGATAATATCACCACTAAATCACCTTAATATCACCACTAAATCGTCACAATTCCTCCATAATCCCACCACAAAACTATCACAATCGCAACAAAATACAACCACAATTCCACCTCAGTACAACCACAATCTCACCTCAATACAACCACAATATCATTCTAATAAAATCACAAACTACTACAATACCACCAGAATAATATGACAATACTATCAAAATAAGATCACAATACCACCACAAAATCAACACAATACAAAAAGTCAACAATAACAGTTAATACCACAAAAAATATCACCATCAGAATAACTATCAGATAACACCACAAAGTCATCACAAAAAAATGCTAAAAAAGTAACATAATATCATTGATTTGAATCACAAAAGAAAGCAACCAAATATAAACTAATGTCAATATTTTAAATGTAGCTAAATTCATCTCCATTTCAAACTTCTTATCACTGTACTATTTTGTGGTGTTCACACATAATACAGGGTTATCATCTTAACCCTAATCGAAGAACTGCAAGAAAACTTTTCGGTCACAAGCAAAACCCTAGCTATTTGATAGAAAATAAAACAACGTGCCAAACTTTAAACAATGTGCCAATTTTTTGAAAGTGCACATAGTTTTTAAACAACACACCATATTCCTTCAGAAGCCTATATTCCTTCCGAATTTTTAGGCTGGTTCGAGCCAAATGACAAGTCAGAGTATACATTTATTTTTTTTTCAATGGATCTGCCAATTTACACGTGACAAAATATCATTGAAGACTGGATGCACAGTTTTGGTCATACGCATGATGCAATAATTTTTCCAACTTTTCAACTCCTATAAAAGATTGCTTACAGCAAATAGCACAAGAATATCTAAACAATGATATATGTAATACATAATTAAAAACATTTGTTTTATGCATTTTTGTTTGCCAGATGGAAGTTATCCTG